ATACGTAACTAACAAACTTATTAAATTCGTTATAATGTCACATAGTTACTGTAGGTAAGTTAGGTATATCAACAATTTTATCTTTTAATAACAATAAACATGGTTGGAAAATACAATATATGACATATATCAGATARTTTTATGTGACCAATTTTATTTTATTTTTTAGAGGATGTACCTACGTGTTTACGTATAATTATTTATGTACATTTTCTGCTACGATATGCGGTCTACATTTATAAAGGAGACCGCCTGCATTTGGTAATCCGCATATGAGAGCAGCACCGTCAGTTGTAGTTATAGACGTTGTAGTACTGCTTTCTGGCAAACGACTGTTTCAAAGTATATCATGTTTAATACACGTTGATTATTTATACGATATTGATTATTGATATGCTGGTAATTTGTACTGATAATTTTTACCGATAATCAATTACTATAGATTAGTTCATATTTAAAAATATAAAATATAATATTATATGTAAAAAATTTGGATTTTGCGCAAACGAGTAGCCGTTTTAAATAGAATCAGTAATTATTACCCATTTTGGAACGACGCGTAAATACTACACTAAGTGTGGGCGCTTAGCATTGATTCTTAACCTTTTTCAAATAACAATACATTAAATATTTTATAAGATTTTTGCAGAACACGGCCGTAAAATACAAAAGTATTTATATATATTTAAAAATTGTATAATAATAATGTATTATAAATTAAAGATAAGAAAGAAAACGTAGTGTTTAGATGAAAAATTCCGTTTTAATTTTGCTGATGCCATTGTGMTATCAGAAAGATTTTCCTCACAAACCACGCAAAGGGGAATTTGATTGTCATTTTCGTCAACATAAGTGAATTCTAAGTTTTTCGTTCAGAAATTTGTCTATTTTGTGATATTGAAATAGTTTTTACATAGCAGTACAATTATTTACGTTTAATAATTTTTAGCTAGTTGCCGTTTAGTATATGACCGATGTAGAAGTTACTGCGTGTTACGTGTCATATTTAATGAAAATGATTAATTAAATCACTTAAAAATAATTAGTATATTTTYGTTCTTCAGAGTAAAAAATAAAAATTTCTTGTTCTAAATGACTAATAGGGTTTATAAAATAATCTCATAATATAAATGGCCAACCTATTAGATTGTTTATAGCATTTATATTAAAATTGAAACCAACCAATTTGTATACCCGTGTTGACTGTGAAAATGAGAAGAAAAGAGAATTTTTCATAATGATTTTCAGCATTTAAAATTTGCATCAAACCTTCAAAATACATATGTTATGATTTATATAACTATATTCAAAGAAAAGTAACTGAATGATATTAACGAAGATATTATGCTATTTCCCATTTTTCTTTAACATTCAGTTTAATTGTTCGATGCAACCCATCTGCGCCCATTTCACTTTTATTTATAACCCATTTGTGACCGATGCAATGAGGCATACTATGAACTACAAATTGAGACGAGTCTTTTCACAAACATTTTAATTCACAATTTTATACACCTGATTCTCCAATTACTAATGCTATTGAAAAATTAAAATTAATTTAACTATAAATGTATTTAAAATTTAAGGAAGTAAATAAAGGCGTAGTGAAACTTAGACAAAATGAAGAAAAGCTACGTACAGAATTGGCATGTACAACTTGGATAGAATACAAGATAAAAATTTAATCAGGGTACAATATACTCGTATAAAAAAATGATTATCAATTTAGAGTTTTTTTTCATTTTTTCATTTCAAATTAATCACAACATTTTGTCAAAATTATAAGATTTACACTATAATGATTTAGACAATTATTATTTAAGTATTATAATCTACTAATTTTCTTAATCTTAGTATCTCTCAAAATATAAATAATCTATTTTATGCATCACACCGGCAACATTGTATGTGAAATGGGCGCATATGAGTTACAAATTTTCAGGTAGTATCTTATCTTTCGGGCGCATCTGTCCACATCCCTCAGTCATCAGGGTGCAAATGTGCTACTCTGGAGCGCAAATGGGGCGTAAATTGGATGTAGCCTTATTTTTAAACCGACAATAATAATATTATATTACCTTCCTCAACATTTAAATGACGTTCTAATGATTAATTTATTTGTTTAGCTTTTATACCATCGTTGGCCCGAAGATCTTGCGTCCAAATTCGGAATATCATGTAGCAGTGAGTACACAAGGAACAACATCACCAACCACGGTAGTCGTGGACGTTGGTGGAAAGCAAGATAGCGGAGGTGTTTTAAAAGTTACACAATTCGTCAAAGTCGATCCATTTTCGACGAGAATAGTTCGACTTGAAGTAAATATGCATTATTTTTTGCCTATATTCGTCGTTAATTATAGTAACGATCAGCTTTAAAATGAAGTACAAATTACTTTGAAAATGATTCATTATTTTTCTGTTAGATCGGGGACGTTGGCCCTGGTAATTACAATCTGACTGCTCGAGGTTCGGGTGGTTTAGAGTTTTTCAACACCACAACACTCGAATACGTTCACAAGAGTTATTCGGTATTCATACAAACTGATAAAGCTATCTATAAACCAGGACATAAAGTACAGTTTAGAGCAATTGTGTTGAATTACCATTTGAAACCGACAGTTACGGGAGCTTTGGACATTTATATTACGGTACATAGCAATGCCGCTGTCCTGGACCAATCGAACAATAATAACCGTCTATCGTTTATCTGTAGGATGGCCAAGGCAATCGTGTGAAACACTGGAGCAGAGCACTAACTACGCGGGGAGTTTTTTCTTCAGAACTTCAATTATCTGAGTCACCAGTGCTGGGTGATTGGAACATTGTCGTTACCGTACTGGATCAAGTATTTCAAAAATCATTCTTGGTGGCCGAATACGTTTTACCCAAGTTTGAAGTGACAATCGAAGTACCTGAACACACTACGTTTAAGCAATCTGTTGTGTCTGCTACCATTCACGCTAAGTATGTATAAATTATGAGAGTATTGTTGGTGTTGTGCAATAATTAGAGTCTTATTGTTGTCTATTGGTTACACACATTATATTATCACGTTTCAGATACACGTACGGTAAGCCCGTTAAAGGAGAGGCAACTGTTTCAGTGTACCCAGAATACTACAGTGATCTCATACAACCTATATACCAAAACCCGTTAAGAAAAGTCGTACCGATTAATGGCAAAACGGTTGTACAATTTGATGTCGTTAAAGATCTTAAGTTCGTTTCAGATTTGTTAAATAGATCTTTATAATAGAAAATTACTAAAACTGTATAAATTACTTTTTAGTCTAAACGACGAATTCAAACGAATTATCACTTTCGATGTCACTGTCGAAGAAGCTCTCACGGGCAGGTCTCAGAATACATCGGCTAACGTTATGTTTCAYAACCACAAATACAAAATGGATCTCATCAGAACGTCAGAATACTTCAAGCCCGGACTCAAATATACGGCTTTCGTGAGTTGTATTTTACATATGTTGTTCTCGTTTGAAAATATGYGATTTAATTATACATGTTTTCAATTTTAGATAAAAATTAGTAATCACGATGGCACTCCAGTATACGATGACAGAAATCCAGTCAAAGTTTGGCACGGATTCTCACACGAGACCGAAAACTTAGATGAAAACAAACTCATGTTACCTAGAAATGGTTTGATTCCATTAATCTACTATCCGCAAATCAATGCATCAGTAATCGTTATTGAGGTGAGTTATTTATTTTTTTTTGCGATAAAATTCATGCTGCATATTATCCACAGTTTTGAAGAYATAGCGTTTTAATTTCATGCTAAAAATAAAAGAAACGAAAAATAAGGATCCTTATTTCTACAAACTATCTTTTAAAAGATTCTGTCGATATTTTATTACATACTGATTATAAACATACATTATATTTTACTTATTATAAGTTGATTTATTTATTTTGACACTATTAAATTTGGAGTAAAAAKCAAACATTTTAGTGGATAGTCCTAACTCTTTAATTTGCAAACAAAACTACAAAAGAAAATATTATTAAAATTGCTTATAATTATAGGATKTTGGTTATTCTTCTATTTGTTATTAATAATGAAATAGTAAAAATTGTTAACCAATATATTTATTTTCATATTTATTAAAACCTACAAATTGATTATTTCATAATTTGAAATTATTTTTGTATTCAGAATAGAAATACAATAAAGGTTGCTTAAAAGTGTAATATTCATATCATAAATATTATGTGTGGCCTGGGTTTACTTTGATAGACCCTTACCCTTTTCTGAGATGGATACAAATCAGATATTTTTACTGTAGTGAAATTTARATACAGTCACTGAAAATATAACGGATGAATAAAACTGATTTTGTTAAAAGAACCAAAWTTTTCTAACGACGATTCACTTATGATTTTAGGCGGAGTACTTAAACCAGAGAGAATCGTTATCGACGATCTTACCAGCCCACTCAACCAGTAATACGTTTGTGCAAGCTACCGTTCTGACTGAACGCCCTACGGTAAGACTGACAGTATAACTATCTTGGGACTTGGGCATTATTATAGTGTAGGTACATTTCAACTACTTGAGTATATTTCACGATATTGAAATTTCGGTGCTCGGTGTTCATTTCAATTTATTATGATCAAGTTTATGGCAATAAATTGGGCACTTATCGAATTACTCACTGTATTTAGATACCTATAATAGTTACATACATACAAATCTCTGGAGTTTCAATAATCATAATTAATYAACAATATAAATGTATATTTAATTATGTAGATTATAGGTAGTGAATATAATATCCTATAATATAATCATCATTATAAACCTAACCTGTCTGTGTATAGAAAATATAATTGYTATTGGCATGTATATGTCTTATGGCTGGAGTCATTCTATAGTTTAATTTCCCAACCTATGGTTCGCGAGACATTGTGAGGTGTTCCGCGAGCTATACTTACAAAATGTAAAAATATTTTAATAATTTAATTTTCCTTTGAGGCATAACACTAATTATTGACAATCGTGTATAGTACGTCGTTTATTTATAAATTCATATTGTTATATATCTATAAAATTCTAAAATATGTGAAAAAAATTAATTCTTATTTGTAAGAAAAATAAGGTATAAAATTGAGGTGGTCCATGACGTATCGAAAGTTCTCCTAGTGGTCCGTAGTATCAAAAAGGTTGGGAACCAGTGTTCTATGCATTTGGGTGACACAGCGTTACCATGACGTTATTAACTCAGCTTAAATATCTACCAAAATTAATGTTATTAAGTTATTTTAAGGGCTTATATTTAATTCGATGAGACGATGGGTTCTGTGACAAATTGTATATCTAGATACAAGATATTTCCATATTTTATATTTCGATATGATGGAGCTATGTACTTAAACTTTAATTTATTAGTCGTGTCGTTCATGACATTTTGCTTGCTCATGAATATTTTTATACCTATATAAAACTTTTTTTCTTAATGTCCATGTTAGTTATAACTTGTTGTTATAACTTCACGGTTATACCTTAATTTAACTTTATATTTTTCGAATTATTTTTCAAATTTTAACGTTATTACATTTGTTTTAAGTTTTGAGTGTCTTGAAAATCAAAATTTAATTTCTGGTTACTATTTAGTACAAATATATATAATAATTGTATCGTGTATCTTTTGAAGAAATAAAATACATGATACCAGTATACAGTATAAAATGTATCATGGTGTATAATACAGTTTTRTCTTTAACACAGTTCAACACTGTTTACATATTACACCCAGCTCCCATAATATCATTACGAATTAGTCATTTTGCGTTTAGGTCAACAAAGATGTGGAAATACAAGTGAACTCAACGGAGAGTCTGCAGTATATAACTTACCAAGTTCTTGGTAGAGGTGATGTAATCGTAGCTAGTACCGTACAGATTCCTAACGCGGGCCAGCACACAGCCGTTATCCGATTCTTGGCCACGTATGCCATGGCACCTACCGCCCACGTGATTGTACAGTTCGTTAAGGATGACGGCGAGGTAGTCGCCGACGCCATTGACGTCGAACTCGATGGAGTGTTGCAAAACTATGTGAGTACCCCTCCTTAGTGCGACTTTCGAATATTTTATTATTATATTATTGTTATTTACCCACGACTTACCCCTACCCCTACCTCTTCCTGTTTTCATACGCTTTTGTTCTAGATTAACGTGGATGTGAGTCGTGAAGAGGTGGAGCCTGACACCTCGGTAGACATAAATTTCGAATCCAAACCGAATTCGTATATAGGCGTTACTGGAATCGACCAAAGCGTTCTATTACTAAAGACCGGTAACGACATATCACACGTGAGTCAACCATCAACATTGACAACTGATCGATCACATTCGACTGTTTATAATTATTTCTTTTTAATTTCATAAAAATATATTTTTTCTCCTTCTTTGTTACTAGGACAACGTATTAGACGAACTTAGAACTTACGACAACGGTGAACATTCCAATTACATGCCATATCTCAGAGAATCATTAGATAGACGATCAATGTTTTGGTGGCCGGGTTCGTATACCGCTCACCAAGCGTTCGATGTAAGTGTTATTTTTTATCCCTCCCTATCACATCGCCGCGGCAATTAAGAGAGTGAATTAATGTTGTTTAAATTTATATTTGTCTAGAAATCTGGAGCGACCATATTGACCAACGCTTTCGTCAATGATTATAATCCTTGGGGTAAGTGWTTTAATGTTTAATCACTATAGGTACTATGTATAAAATAAAATAAAATATGTATGTGAAAGTCACGAAATAAAACGAAAATGTTTATCCCCATAAACAAAATCATGACTAATACAGATCGTCTTACGAATCCTAGTGCTTCACTAAGTTCCTACACGAGATTTAGCAGGTAAAAATTACCCCTAGATATGTATACGTAAATTCCTACACAAAAATAATACACTAGTACATAAGTTCCTGCACGAAAAAAATGTATGTATAATAAATAATAATAATATGTTAATTGTCACACAAATAAAAATTATAATTTTGTAGCGTTATTTTTTTGAAGTTATCTGATATTTTGCTATCGACATAATATTGTTYTTCTTTGCTTTTTTTTTATTTTTTTAGGGGGTATGTACATTGAATTTGATGTTTTTATTATTATTTATAYATTTGCTTGAAACATTTTTAAAACTTCAATTATTTTGAATATATTAAGATGAAGATGTTAAAATTTTTAGTTGAATTCGCAGTGGAAAATTACACAAGTATTTGTAGTTAGACTTCTATCTGAACCAGCAATAACCTAAAAACTAGAGAGAAAGTACTATTATTATCTATGTTGTTAGTCATTAATTRATCTCAAAGTTCATTTATTCTATTATTTTCTGGTTTTGTAATAATTAAACTTCCTACGAAACAATCTATTCTATTTATAAACGTCGGTATATTTTTGTTAGCGTTGGAACTTATATACTAGTATTATTTTTTTCTTGKAGGAACTTACATACTGATATATTTTTATTCATGTAGGAATTTACACCTGTAACYGCTTATCTGCTATGTTTCGTGTGAGAACATCTCTAGTTCCGAATCCTATACGCATGGAACCCGTCTGAAAATTTTCATAACATATTTTTAATTATGATAATGTTATAGTGATGGTTGAATCTCGATTTATTGCATATGTCAAAATCRAAATTAATTAGTAGCTTTAATAATAATATTAAAATAATTTTCTATATGTGAGACCACTGGAAAATGTATAAAACAAAATACACAATTATAATTCAAATGTATATCTTTTGTGAATTTATGAACACCTATACTTCATATTAATTGATTGACTTGCATTAAAAATTAAAAATTCAAAGTTAATGTAAAGCCTTACTTAATGACTTAACCAAATACAATTTTATTTTCTTAAATACTTTTAATTTTTACATAATTTTCTCAGTGGTTGATCAATATTCATTGTGACTGTTTGAGCTTAAAGAACCCGACATCGGTCACTTAAGACGAATACAATAAATCTAATATGCTTTTGATGTATCCACTAGTTTAACGTATTAATAACAATAATAATTTAGCTTTTAAATAAAATAACTCTAGAGTCTAGACACGAAAATGTAGGTTTTTTTGACAGAATTTGTTGTATACCATGATATCCTATGTCRTATCTACACACGCACACATTTATATACTCGTATATTATATTCATTTATGGATACTTAAATTTGGTTTTTACATGTTAAAACCTAATAAAAATGTGTTATATTTATATGGCCCGTACTTTTAATACTATTTGGATGAGACAACTCACAACTGTGATGAAATTCAAGGAATGGACACAAAAGTTCTTGTACATTTGAGTTGATTTCAGTGCACAAAATTTTTTATCAACAACAACTGAAGGTGGTATTGTATGATTCTTAAAACTATGTTCATTGAAACGACTTGAAATCATTGGAATTTGAGGTTTWCCAAAATATTCTATCCAAACTTAAAAAACTTCAAATACCATTCGAAAATCGTAACTGTTCATGCCCTATCCCTTTTATTGTTAAGACGATACCAAACCAATTAGTAGTATTATGTACGAAATGTACCTATATAAGTTTATTATACACTATCAACAGTCTAATCATTTGAATAACGGTAAAATAATAATTGTATGTATTACCTAATATTAACTCATGGTGTAATGGGGATCGTGTATAGTTTACTACAGGTCAAATGTGATGGATGACCAGGAAATGATGCCGATACCATCCACTGTTTCCGAAACATCTTCTAGCATCAAAGTGCGGAAGAACTTCCCCGAAACGTGGCTATGGGAGTCTACCGAATCTGGGTAAATAGTTGTGACTAATCAAAGGGTGCTTGCATACTAACGCTTGGAACGTACTGTTGATGTAATATTTGCTCATATTATATCTGTTGCTTGTATATGAATTTAACCGGTAGAGGTATATGTGTGTGCATACAACACTTAACAAACCATTTAAATGCGAATTGTTTAGTTGTGAAAATCACAAGGCTGTGGAGCAAATTACTTTTTTTTAGAACTTAATCACTTAAAATTATCTCCATATTGTTTGAATAATTAGTCATTTCAATTAATTCTTAATAATATTGATCTTCAGGAAATTTAAATTCAATTAAATGTGTAGCCAATCAATATAAATATACGTTTAGTTTCATTGATTAAAATATAAATAAACTTTAAAATTTGTTTACACCGGACATTTATTACAGTAAAATAAACTTTTTGGGGTAAGCTATGCATATTGACTCGCTGAGTCAACGGATATTTTGGCTGTAACTTTAAATTTATATTATAAATTGTATACAGCTTCCTTTATAGTTTGATTTATATCTAGCCTGGGAAAAATGGCTAATGGTTTACTTTTTTACTGTACAGGAAAGGTGCCTTTAACACTAAAATAATTCCTCTTATTTCTCTTCCAATTCCTATTTTGTTAAGTAAAATATTGAATGTAAGGAAAGATTTATTTAAGAGAGTAAAATATTTTGTAAGTGTCGTTTATAGTCGATACAATATAAAGCCCGATCAACCTGACTTGTTTTCTTTAAATACATTATACAAGTGAGGGTGTCCTTCCGTCCATTGTTCACCCGTCCTATTATATGCAGCGTGTTTGTATCTTCCATTTGCAATACATTTACGACGCCAGTGATGATATTTTTAAATGAGATATTTCTAGAGAACATTTTTAACGATAATTAATAATAAGACAAATTCAGCAGTATACAAATAAAATTGATTATTAGACAGATTCACGTTAAGACTAAAGAATTAATATTCTTCAAATTTATATTTTCCTGGAAAAAAATTACCTATTGTGCTCTTAAAAATATTATAACAGTTAATTATTTCTATAAATAAAATATATTTATTTAATTATTGCTATTCATTTAAGAATCAAAATGGACAAGGTCGTCTGTCGCTGGTTTGTTTTTGTTATTCAATCCCTCCACATTGTTCCTAAACGGACGCCCTTTACTTTTTATCCCTCAAACACACCTCTCTTAATGTCCGCTTGTCTGGCTTGAAGTATTATGTACGTTTTCGTGTGTTTGTTGTATACAGTGGCACCAATCGGCCAAAGTCCAAAATTAGTGGTTCAGATCCAGATGCCTGTTCAACCGGTTGTGAAACCGTACATCGGGCCAGGCGCCGTTGTACAACCAGTGACGCGGCCGCCATTAGCCGGCCCGTACGCGTTCTCCCGCATACCAGCACCAGTGTGGAACAAGCCACGTGTCTTCCTAACACATGCCCTTCAGGATACTTGGCTATTCACTAATTTATCCACATGGTATGAACTCGGGGAAGAGGGAATAGGGTTATTGTCATTAATAACTCCAGGTTCATCAATCTCGTTTACCTGGGGAGTAAGCTAAGTAAAGCGCTCTACAACCATTCTTTAAACGATGAATCCTAGATATTTCTCTGATAGTTTTTACCTGATTTCTCACTGAAAAAAATTTCTTCCCCCGAGATACCACTAAGCGCTATTAGATAAATCAACTGCATGTAAGTCTCTCAAGTTTMTAATGGAAAAGAAAACATCTGAAGATTTATTGGAGACTATCCACACGTTATCAACTCAAGTAGTATAAGGTCTCATGCTTGTTTATGTCCATGTTTATTCTATAATTAATTCTAATAATACTCATGGTATTCTTTTAAACTTGTATATTTTTAGTATGTTAACCTATAGTTTTTTTATATCGTTATAATAGTTCAAACAATATTATCAAACGCAGAATTAATAAAAACACATAGAAATTTCAATAACCTTTAAAGACAATGAATTTTGAAAAGGATTAAAAMATATGTTTAAAAAAATAAATAAATATATGTCWATTTTTAATGTTATTTAGTAATTTCGTTCAGATTTTAGACGTTTWGATTCGTTCGGCATTGAGAGGGTTTACTATTAAGAATACGTTTTACCCTATATCGGTTAAAAAAGTATCTGGACCTAAGTGTCCAATGGTGAAGGTTTTATTGTGTAATCGAATACATACCGTCGCTTTTTAGAATATATTATTGTCAATCTATATTGTTGTCTATGAGCTTTTGCGCACGCTTTACTTTTCGAACTTCTTAAGAATAAAGTCTTGATCGAGTGTTAGGTACATATAGGGTGAGTGATGTAGCATAYTGGCGATGTCGCGTGCTTCATAATAGATACGATTTTTAAACATGGTCGGTTGGTTCGCTATTGCCCTCTCCTTATCCATATTATTATGTGTAATTCGTAAGTACTTATCGTACTCTATGGCCCTACAGCTAATGTTACTATAGCTTGCATTCACTGTCATTGTTAAGTACCTATATCAAGTGGTTCTATAAATTAAAATGTTAGAATTGCTCTGCTTTAATCGCTTAATATATTTTAATTGGACATATGTAATGAACAAAAAGTAAAATATTCATCATAATACGTTGTTTTCGTAGCTTCAATAATATGATTCCGTATTCCCATTCATTTAAAGTTATATTATGTTAATAAGTTCATTTGAAATAACGTTGTTTAATTGACAAATTTAAATTTATTACTATCTATAATAATATTAATAATAAATTAAACATAAGAATATAAACTACAGATATATGAAAATACTAGATAGCCGACTTTGGTATTATTATTGTCACCAATAAATTGGCCGCCATCCTTTCAAATAGGTGAATGTTTATATTTTATAGTATTGATAAGAAACAATATTATAACAATTATGTCAACATTTAAACATAATAGTATTTTATCACTTATCATATTAGCATAGGCGTAAATTGTGGGGGGAGCACTTAGGGGGACTTAGTCCCCCCCCCACACACACAACAAAATGTATAGGCCCCCTAATTTCTATAGTTTTCTTTCAATTTCAATTTTTTGTTAAAAAAATTAATTAATTAATTTAAAAAAATAATGTCATAATTCCTAAACAGGAAGCCGATAGGTATATGATTATATTATGAACGCTTATGTTATAGATTTTGTATTCAAATAAAATTAGAAAAGATTKATCTAATATTTATTATTTCAAAACGACAACGATAACAGGTTATGTAATAATATGTTTATGCGAAGTTCGAAGTATCTTGATTTACTATGCCTTAGTATCACTTATCAGTAAAATCACAATATTTTATAATAATATGTTTGTAAGAACCCAATACAAATAATAAGCTGTTACGATTACGATAACTGAAGTCTTTATATAGCATGCAACGRCGGTAAACGGTGAACACCGCTAGAACTAATCAGTTATTCAATTATAGTAAATAGTTGAGCAGCCGATGTTTTTTTCTGTGGTAAAAGTTTAATATGTAAACAATCACCTCTTAGATGAYGATTGGCGGCCATTTTATCGGAGAGATTATAATACGTATGGGCCATATCAGTCAGCTATCTCGTATTTTTATATATCTGTGGTATAAAATGTTTCGTCTTTTTCATGATAAAATGATGCCTATCTTTTATTACCAGTGAATAGTTATGTTGAAACAAATCGGTTATGATTGTTGTTAGAGCAATTTTAGAGATAAAACACATATGAAAACGTAAACTAAAACTTAATATCACATCTGTTTACAAAAAGACAATTGTGATTTTGGAAAATTTAATACAATATTATAATGAAATCAATTCCATGTAATAAATACGTATATGAAATACTCTCAAAACTGTTGTTATATCAAATTTTAATGATAAATATTTTAGCTATAAAACTTCACTGGGAGCAGAGATGACATATGATCTATTCTAGTTGATAACATTAATGCTCTTTTTATACAATTTCATAACTTTGAACAAACCAATAATGATAATTACGTGGGAACACATTATTTTGAATTAATGTTAAAATACATTAACATTTTTATATTTATCATTAAAACTGATACATTGTTATAATAATTTCATTATTACTGATACATCTTCATAATTCAATGCAATAGATGTTACAATATTGTTGTCATTAAATAGTTTATAAAATGTTATAAATTTCTTTTTAAAATATTGGTGCTACGAAACAAGCGGTTATTATTCAATATTTACGTCTCGGGGTATTTAGTGTTGTAAATCTATTGTTAACTATCATTTATTGATTAGTTAAATTATTCACTTAGAACATTTTAACTGATAACTAACTTGTGTGATATTAAAGGCAAGACGGACGAGTTTCYTTGAAATCTACGGTGCCGGATACGATCACGTCATGGGTGATCACTGCGTTCTCAGTCGACTCACTCTACGGACTCGGTCTTCTTGATTCGCCCAAAAAGGTAAATCGATTTAAAAAATGCATTAAACATCTATAAAGTGTTGTATTTATGGGTAATACATTTCAAAGATTATTGATCAGAATTTTAATAGTCGGTAAAAAATAGTTTTTAAACCGTGTTTGTATAATGCCTAAATATTTGTTTTATTTATATAAAAAAAAGAGGAATATCATTATTATTTTAATCTTAAAAACAATTAACTGTTTTATGCTGTATAATAGTTCAGTTTGTTTAATATTACTACTATCGGTTTAATATACCTATATAGTATGCAATCAAATTTTATTTAGCTTGTGATTTTAACGGAATAGACAAAAAAAGATAAAAATTAACATGTGTAGTGTATTTTTTTTTAAATATTTTATAATGAAAATAATTTTTAAGTGGTAACGATTGTTATTTTATAGCTTAAAGTATTTAGACCATTTTTCATTTCCGTCGACTTGCCATACTCAGTGAGAAGAGGTGAGTATGTTTCCATACCGGTAGTGGTGTTTAATTACCTCAACAAAGATGTCACGGCTGACGTGACTTTAGAAAATATTGGWCAGTTCGACTTTGCTGAAACCTCCAATGATGTCCGAGATTCAAGTAATTAATAATAAATGGATAGTGTAACTAAAATATAATATGTACACCACCTTATTAATTTAAACACTTATTGTTTTCCTTTTGAATAATAGAATTGGAATTGTACAAACGGAAATCTTTAACTATCAAATCTAATAGTGGAAGCCCAACATCGTTCCTAATACAAACCAAAGATTTAGGTTACATAAGCATTAAGTTGACCGCTACCAGTAAATTGGCTGGTGATGCTATAGAAAAGAAGTTGTTRGTGAAGGTATGATTTCATTCAATGATCTGTGAACAATGGCTTAAAACAGTTATTTTCGTATAATATCATTAATAATATCTGCTTTACCCGTCTCTTTAGCCTGAAGGAGAAACCATTTATAAAAACAAAGCAATCTTTGTCGATCTCAGGAAAGAATCATCGTTTGAAAAAAACATTACTTTAGAAATTCCCAACAACATTGTACCAGACTCTGAATTCATTGAAATCGGAGCTGTTGGTATGTTACTTGTCTAAAAATAATTTGTTCATTCTATTTAAAAATTGTTTTCTTTTATGACAGGTGATATTTTGGGACCAAGCACAATGAATTTAGCATCTTTGATCCAAATGCCATTTGGATGTGGTGAACAAAACATGTTGAATTTTGTACCTAATATCGTCATTCTGGATTACTTGAAAGTAAGTGTTAGCTATTATTTATAAACCAATAAATCTGATTAACAGTGATCTAGTCACAATTTATATCACGAGCGTTTTAAATTCAAAATATTCAATGTTGATAACTTGTTTTCACGCACATCTAGAACACGAAACAATTGACGACTGCAGTTGAAACAAAATCGTTGAAATATATGGAAACTGGGTACCAACAAGAATTAACGTACCGTAGATCAGACGGTTCTTTTAGTGCTTTCGGATCAGCAGATGCCAGTGGCAGCACGTGGTATGTGTACCTTATTTATTATATAATATTGGTTATACAATAGACGATAGGCACCCTCGATTTCGTTAAATACACGAATGATCGAGTAAAGTATAATTTTCTTTTTTAATTTATAAATATTTTTCCAGGTTGACCGCTTATGTTGTCAAATCATTCAGACAGGCAATGTCATACATACCAATTGAAGAAAAAATCATAATCGAAGGCCTACAGTGGTTATCTAATAATCAGGCGAACAATGGTAGTTTCCCGGAAGTGGGCTATGTAAGTCACAGTGACATACAGGGAGGATCCTCCAAAGGACTAGCGCTCACCGCCTACACACTTATAGCATTTTTGGAAAACCAAAAGGCCACTCCAGTTTACCGAAATACAATTAATAGAGCCGTAGAATATGTAGTAAGAAACTTACCGGGAGTAGAAGATCCGTACGCAATCGCCATATGCTCGTACGCATTACACTTGGCCGATCATCCGGAGAAAAACGTAGCTTTTAACCTACTTGAATTGAAAGCTAATACTGCTGGTAAGTCTTGCAGTTGTAACTTATTTCGAAACTTTTTTAAATAATTCATTTCAACGAAAATCTAAAATAATAACTATTCTGTCCGCTGGATGAAGAATATAATTTTAAATTCAACGAACTTGGTTTGATGACTTTCCTGGTTACGGCTATAATGCTTTATGTAATATTTATTTATTTTTTATTGTAATAAAATAAAAATATGATTTACAGATGGGAAAAAATGGTGGAAACGAATGGATCGTGCTAACGATAAAAAAAATCCATGGGTCCAAGAGCCTAATTCAGTTGACGTAGAAATGACTGCATATGCCTTGTTGACCTATTTACAAAGAGAACTTGTAGAAGATGGTTTGCCGATACTACATTGGTTGGTGTCTCAACAGAACGATCAAGGAGGGTTCGCTTCTAGCCAGGTATCTATTTTAGGTTACACAGTTGAATATTAATCGAGGATTAATTAGATTTGGAGTGATAACTGGAATGCGATAGTGTTAAACAATTCAAAATTAGGTGGCAATATCTTATATAATTAAATTCTTCTCATATTATGAATTATATAGACCAACTTGTCGACAACATGTCAATCAATACATCRTTGTTAATTGAAATATTGATATCAAGTTTTATGGTGAGATTTCCCTTGTCTAAATATTATTTCTTTGTCATTAGTTATTTGAATCAATTCAGATTTCACTCTCTGGAGTAGTTTCATTATACCTCAGTGACCTTTTTAATCCATAATTTTATGGAAACTCTTGAAGGATAACCAGAAGGAAATATTTCTAGTACGCTATTCTTATAGCTTCTATAATATATAAGCATATTACAACGACTTTACGTCCTATTTTTTAGAAGAATAACAATTGGTACAAAGTACATGTACCTATTGGAAATCACTAAATCATAAAAATATCATACTAGGAACTTATAAACATTTGTATATGAGCCTTTTCCTACTATTATTTAAGTATKTAGTTAAAAATTTTAATAAATTATAATTAACTATTTGTATTCGTTTAGGACACGGTGATAACGTTGTATGCTCTTTCTCAAATGGCCGAGCGAATTACTCCTGGTACTTTAAAGTTATCTGCCACATTTTCTTATATGAGAAATGGACAATCTGAACTAAAAGTAACCAAAGATAACGCTATGGTGTTGCAGTTGATTGAAGTGAGTATTGTTTCTGAAATTAATGTATATGAGTGTTTATGATAAATAATATTGTATGCAATTTATAGAACAACGTTAAAGTATTTTTTTCAAAGCATTAATTGAATTTTATTTATTTATTTCGTTTATTTCAAAGATTGATCCATAAAAAAATATTTTTATTTTTTATACAAGTGCATAAATTCTGTAAAACCAAATCATATGATCAACAGTTAAAAGAAATCATCTAGATTTGAATTTTAGTTACTTACATTAAACAATTAAAATAAAATTTAAACACAAATGCCAAATATTTGCTTATTATTTATTTTTATGCATCTATGTAAAATGTATATAAACTTATTTTAATTAACACTTGTTGTTTCAATGGTAAATAGAATATATTCTAAATTGCTTACTTAYTATCCAGGTRACGAATATGAAACTAATTATATTTGTTTGCATTTAAAACTCAAAATTAAAATATCAGAAAAAAATAGTTTTTACGATAAAAATAAATTACATTGTMTTTCTACCTTAATTTATTTTGACTCCTTTATTTATGCCATAGCTTCCTAAACGTACTCGTACGTTGAACGTGACAGCCACCGGTACTGGATTCGCCGTTATCAAAGTATCTTACAGATACAATGTAAATGTTACTGGCGCTTGGCCACTATTTTCACTGGATCCGCAAGTGGATAAGAACTCGAACGCCAATCACCTTCAACTTTCTGTTTGTTCTGGGTAAATTTTTTTTTTTAATTTTATAAAATGGCTGACCATTTAACTGAATATTATATAGGCCTGCATTGGATCTAAAAACATTTCCCACCCATGTAGGTTGCCTGTTTGAGATTTGTCATGGAATAAATAACAAAACTTAGCTGCACCATATGCAATAATGTTTTAATCATAAAAAGTGAGGCAACACGTAACGAGCGGGTTTGATGATGTATGTTAGGAAGATAAAAGATTTTACAATTTGTTTGAATTAGAAGTTTTAGTTTAATAAACCGAAAGAGAATATGACATTAATTTTAGTGGAGAAAGTGGAGGTCTGTACGAGTGCATACGGTGATAGAAGACCTGGTTTACGTGTACCGGGCAGATACTGAAAATTGTCGATGCGTCTGGTGGACCTCACTGTCGGGAATCAGTGGTAATCACTCAGTGATCTATTGGACATGAGTGCTCGGCTCTTCTCGATAGTAGTAATTTTCGAGTAGGGCGTCGACTAGTTGGTCCTCAGGGTGGGGACGTTGTCGGAGAAGAACTATGATATGAACTCGAGTCTTACGCGGTGTTGTGATTGTTGAAGACAAATGCTTTGTCTTGCGGAGAGTATAAACGAGAAAGAACTGGCTGGACTTGGCACTACACGTCAGTGTAGACGCCATAGCATGTTAAACGCGGGCAGGTGTCACAATACACGGCAGATAAAAGAGAGTATTTTGATGGAGACCACCACAATAGTGGAGATACCAACGGCATATCAGTATATCACTGTTTTTTTTTTTTATGAGAGATAAGCACAGATATATATTAATACCAGATAGCCGTCTTCGAATACACCACCACAAAATAATGTGAAACACGACGCCATATGCAATGAAAACAACTCGATAAACAAACGTTATCAATATTAGACTAATCAATATAATTCATACTATTGTTATTAGAATATATCTGTGTATATTACTTGTTTCTGATTGGCCACTGAATTTTGCACTCGATCATCTCGTAAAATTAGCTAAGTATCTGATAACGTTTGTTTACCGAGAGTATTCTTTGCATATTTCTATCACTGATAGCGAGAAGACAGCTATCTAGTATTAGTATATTATATCTGTGGTTACAAGTTTATAAAATAATTCTATCCATGAAAAATCATGGAAAAGAACATCAACATTCTTAAAATAGTCGAATCTGTAGGAGAGGACAATTTCGCAATTAAATGTATATATAAAACGCGCTCTATATATTCAATTCAATAATATGTATTATTTAACTAAATAAATACCATGTTATTTTTTAAATTTATATCTATATAAMAATCAACTTATTCGCTCCCAACATGTAATGGATTTTATTTTTGCAGTTTCCGAGGGGGCAATGACAGCAACATGGCAGTAATGGAAGTAACACTACCTTCGGGTTTCACCGTGGATAACGACGCGTTGCCCAGCCTCCGATTGTCCAACAACATCAAACGTATCGAGACCAAAGATGGAGATACCGTCGTCATGTTATACTTTGACAAGGTATAAAAAAATAATCAAACCAAATTTGAATATGTACATATTAAACAAATATGTGTTTTAAGTTGAAAAAATAGAATTCTTTAAATATTAATTAACATATTCATACAATTATATTTGGGGAAGACTGATTATATTCTTCTGTATACAAATATATATAGGTGTCAATTAAATTACATTTAAAAAATATATATTACCCAAAGTTTGACCACGGATAGATAATATGGTTGCCCGCCGGCCTACGAATTCAACATAAAAAAGTTGATCAAAACAAATCACTATCAAACAGCTAGATATTCCAGAAGTAGCGTTTACTCGTGATAGTTTTTATAAACTTAACAGATTTATCAGGCATTAGACGCTGAGAGATAAAAGAGTATATGTTATATTTTTGTTTTAGATTGAGTAATACCTAATTACTTGAATATTTTAACTATTTATATTTATTCAAATTTCATTCAAATTAACTTTATTAATTTAACTCGTTTTTAAAATAACATATCATGAAACAAAAATATCCGCTCTTGTAAAGTTAATGTTTTYCTATACAAATTCAATAGWAAATTTGCCTCATTATTAACTACATAAACTATAATAAGAATCTGCTAAGGGTACCTAGATTTGCTATACTACACGTCTGTAAGACTGATATAACATATACAAGGTACAATGTACATGCATGGTTCATATTAACATCTATGTCAGATTTGTTCAATTCGATTAGATAACCAAATTTTATTACACTTCAGATGATGGCTAAAGAATACTGTCCGACTATATCAGCGTTCCAAACACATAAAGTAGCCAATCAAAAGCCAGTGCCTGTCACCGTATACGATTATTACGATCAGTGTAAGTGAGAAAAATTTAACCTCTATTCGATGTATCCAACCAAAAATATTCTAAATTATTTTTTTTCTATCTAATAACATTCTACCTTGTTTGTACTTCAAGTTTTTTTTTATGTTTACCTACTACTTAATTTGTTTATTTATTTATATATTTTTACTTCGATTAGCGAGGCGTGCCAGAGTTTTCTACGCACCGAGAAGAGCGACTCCATGTGAAATATGTGAAGATTCCGACTGTAACAAAATATGTGTGCAAACCGATAACCCCAAATCCGGTGCTACGTCACAGTTCCGTAACAGTTTGCAGTTTACGTTCATCATCGCTTCAATTTCAAGCATCCTACTCGTTCAATATTTTAACTGATATGAAATGTACAAAAAAAAACATATTTTTTTATATACGTTATATTCATATACAATATGCGTAATAATGAAGAAAGTAAATCGGTAGATTTTCACAATATTCCTATTTTGTCTACATATTTATATTATTTTTGATTGTTAAAAACTCAACACATATTTGTATGTACTTATGGATTYGCTTTGCATGCAATTTACTTAATATTATTTTTATTTAAGTTTTTAAATGTCCATTAACTTATTTATTTATAACACATTATTATTATTATTACAAACAAATATTAAATACAAACTTCTTGACATATAATATAGGTAAGCACTTGTGAAAAAAATATAATTATGATGATTTACATATCTCATAGAATGGCCAAAAACTATACCTACTGTTATACTGCATGCAACTCTAATCAAATACTCAACAAAAAAAATTAAAAAAATCCTTTATCATAAGTATTTTAATTTATAGAATTATTATTATTATTTTTAGTTTAATAACATTTAATTTGTATGACTACACGTGACCTAGGTACCTACCTAATACCAATCTGTATACACAATATTATTTCTATAGAAATGTGAATAGAAATTTATTTGGACAACAATTTACAGTAATATGTAAAATATGTATTAATAAATCTTACAATTTGTAAACCATTATGCATATTATATTCGCTGATTCCGAATGAAAATTAATTAAATAATTTTTATGTAGGATTTTTTTCATTAATATAAAGACTGAATGACAGATGTTATAATTACTATCGAAATAAACACCTTCAAATTTCTATAATCACGTAGGCAATCACTAAATCACTAACAATTATTATAACAGTTTTATTGTTTGTAAATACTAAATTGATATGGTACTTATAATAAATATATACATATTTATGAATAATCACATTTTTGTTATTATTTTTATTGACAAGTGAAGTTCTGACACAATATGTAAAAGTGTCTTATATAAAATGTATCTAAAAWATATGCACATGTAAAAATATAATACTTATACACATTAGGTGTGTCCAGACCTCATTCGCAGGTCATCCACAACAGTGGCATTTCTAGGGGATAAGGGGTTATGTGTTCGAAAATGATATGTTCGAATAAAATGTATTATAAAATTTATTGCTCTATATCAGATACTATATTAGGCCGGAGCCCCGTTTCACATAAAGGCGTATCGTTCGCCAGACGATATCGACGAGGGAAACGTGCCATAATGTTAATTGTTAAATTGTCTTAAATWACCGTCTTTCCCTGGTTAACGGTATAATAGTTGGAATACACTATAGATAATAGATATCTTAATATCTATAATTCCAAAATAATAAATACAAAGTTTTCGAACAAAAATTCATCCGAACATATGCTTTTTCGAACACTTTTCATTCGAACACATTTTATTCGAACATATCATTTTCGAACACGTAACCCGACACCTTTCTAGGGGATGGGGAAAACTGCCAATCCTCCCCCCTAAAAAAAAAATAATAAAAATTTCTGTTAAGATTGGGGGATATAGCCCCGAATCATACACATGATGAAAAACAAAAAATTTAATATGAAATTAGAAATTGAAAAAAAAAGGTTCATATTATGAATCAAAATGTACAATGTAAGTTTGATCAAAGTAGCAGGTCATGCCTGTGCATGACAGGAATGACCCGTGGACATACCTATGCTTATACATAACACATAATTAGTATTGGGATGGCAATTACGAATTTAGGACATTTGATGATCAATAATAGGACAGTTAGCTCCGAATATAAATGATAAGATCATTTAACTATCTAATATTTGTTTGTATCGAGAAATTTTATACATATGTTTAAGCTTCTTGGTTTATTTTAATTTTACAATTTATTTGAATAGGTACCTGTGTTTAATTTTAAAATCTTCATCGAGATTATGCAGTTCATCATCTACAAAGTTTCAATAAATATATGCATACATGTGAATGACTGAATATAATTAAAAGTTGGAAYTTATATTGTTCCAACTTTTTGATATATAATTAGTCCTATTATATCCTAATTGTGTTGCATTGTACACGTTCCATGAGCTCCTTTTGCAGGACATAACTTGCGTATTGTTAATAAATAAGGTTCGGGACTTTAAAATTGTCGAAATATGCCATCATAATCTTTAAAATATGATAAAAAATATGCAGCTAATATTTTATTTTGGTTTTTAAAACTCAAATAAATATTATAATTATCGTCCACCAGTTTGTAATAGACAGGTAACAATATCGTTCCCAGTTTTTCTACATTTTCTCCGGTTACAGTTGGTCGTTTTTTACGTTTTATTTTTCAACTGTTCTATAAAAAGTGCTTGCGTAGACCAGTGTCGTTTTTGAGTAGGTCTGCTCAAAACGTTCCCTCTAAGGGCAATTTTTTTGTCTTTGTTGAAATAMACAGCCGCCGGTTATTTAAAAATTTTATCGTCTGGTTTGGTTTGATTCGGCCGTGCTATCTCYGGCCCCATTAATTACCTAACCCCACGCGATACGGGCCACGTACATACGAAATATACACTGTGTGGCTAGTAGCATTTATAAATGACGCGATCACTTATACACCGTGAGTCAAGTGATTACCATTATTTCCAAATTATCCCTTAATTTACCTATTCCTTTATTATTTGAATCTTACCTTTGTCGTCAAATCTGCATAATGTCTCCAACCCCAACAAAATCATCACAAATTAATACTATATCTGCTACTGTTAATAAATGATACCATGGATGATCTTCATCGCTCTATCACAGAGATTCGCAGTTCTCATATTGATATGCTTGGACAGTATAACACTACGAATTTGTCACAAAACTCTAAACTAGCTGAATCAAGCATTGATTTTCTTAAATCCAAAATCGTTGATAATAGGTCGGAAAATACTACTCATCGCAACGAAATTGCTACCCTCAATAACAGAATTCAAGTTTTGGAAAATTTTGCTAATGGTTCAAATAACATGCCTCAGCTGATTCAAGAATTGGCTAACCATGTGCTCGTAACATTATAGTACGTACATGGTCTCCAAGAGTCTTCGACGAAGACTCTTCGTCCAATGATCTTACAGCCTGAATGCATCCGATATTGAATTACTCGATGATAATATCCATCCGTGTAACTTAACTCGTTTCTTGATATTAACAATGCTGATTTTGACTCTATTATTGCTATAGCATTAGCTGACAATAACTGGTCTACTAATTTTAACTTACACCCTGCTGATTTATCTGCCACAAGGTTACAGGCATCTATTATTGACGCCATTCAACGGTTCGTTCCACTTAAATCATTTCGTAGATCAACCTTTCCATCATGGGTTTCTCTCGTTCTCAAATCTCTTCTTAAAAAAAAAAACCCGCTCATAAAAAATCCAAAATAACTGTCTCGTTACATGAGTACAACTCGTTCTCCAATCTACGTTCTCAATGTAAAGCTGTATCTAAATCATGTTTAAGGACTCACATCAATGTTGCTCAGTCTCAACTTACCTTTAGCCCACGTGGTGTTTGGTATTTCATAAATAAGAGACGTGACTTGTCTTCGATTCCTAACCATGGATATTTGATTGATATCTCTGCTAATGGTTCCGACATTGCTTCTTCTTTTTTCGCCTCTACCTATAAACAGCCATCAGCTGCCCCTAATTCAGCTCTAATGAATATTAAAATTCAACTGTTCTCCTTCTTACCTTCCTATTTATCTATTTCCATTGAGGAAGTTTCTGATGCTCTCAAGACGTTATCTAATGTCCGTTGGGTGGGCCCTGATGATATTCCAGCTTCTTTGCTTTTTAAATGTCGTGAGGTACTCTGTTCTCCGCTTTGCAATATGTTAAGTTGTTCAATATCTTATCAAGTAAATTTAAGGTTTCTTCTGGCGTTCCGCAAGGTGGACATTTTTYGCCACTGCTATTTAATATTTTTGTTAATTCAATATTTAGCAATGTCCCGTCGGTCTGTTTACTTCTTTTTGCTGACGATGCTAAGCTGTTCTCCAGGATATCTTCCAGTACTGATTGCGACGTCCTTCAATCATCATTCAATAATTTTATTAACTGCTGTCAGGCTATTGGCCTTAACTCTAAACTTTGATAAGTGTAACGTGTAAGATCATATCATTCTCCAGATCACGGATTCCAGTGGATCACGTATATACCTATAATGACTCACCCCTAACTCGAGTATCTGAAGTAAAGGATCTAGGTATAATATATACTTCCTCACTTTCCTTCAGACCTCATATTGATTATATCACTTGTAAAGCCTTACGTATTTTAGGATTCATACGTCACCACACTAAACACTTCAACTCAACACCTTGTATTATAACCCTTTATTCTGATCTTATACGTTCAATTCTCGATTATGGGTCAGCCATTTGGAATCCTTATCTTAAAACGGAAACAAAACTTATTGAACGAGTTCAGAATCTTTTCCTTAGCTATGCAGGCTTCTTATTAAACATTGAACACCCCTAACATTCATACCAACCTGTCATGGACAGCCAATACTAGATCAACCGATTCTTTTCACATCCCAACTTCCCGTTCAGACTTTTTATCTAATGATCCTTTGGTTAGGCTATGCGCAGTTTAAATAATAATAATTTTAATATATGGCCTTAAATTTTTACGATATGATATTTTCACGWYACTGATCACGATAAAATAACCACGAAGAAATAKTCGCAATAAAATACTACACGATTAACAAGCATGTGATAAAACGTCAACGCTAATATTTCGAGGGATAAATTTATGTGCGATGAACCGTCGCGAAATCAGAGGAAACGCTATTGAAACATGTCTGGAAAATGACCGACTTATTCTACTCAACACCGAAGTATACACTAGACACGACTTAACAAATAAATCGCTTTCCGCACAATGCACATTGCACATAGAACTATTGATAACCAATAGCGCCACAAATCGAATGGCGAGTTCTCAATGAATACAATAAATTGTAGTGGCCATTGGTCCATATCCATAACTTTACTGGACCAAACACCAAAAGCACCACYACACACACACTGGGACCTAAAAAAAACCCAATTGGGAACTTTATGAAGATTTTATTAACCAAAACTTAATAGAAAATCCTATAAAAATGTATACTGAATCTCAATTTGGCCAAACACAAATAAATTCCATAATAATACAATTCTTAAAAATTATAATAGACAACGCGAATATAACTATTGGAAAAACAAACACCACTCACAGAAGGAAAAAAGTCCCAG